ACGAGCACACCTTTCATAGAACAGTGGGATTCAATACACCTTGTTTCAAATGTCATAAGAGAACGAACAACTGCAAATGAACAACATTGGAGAATCTGGAGCCAGTTGGGGTGCAGATCATGTAGATTTTCCTTTAACCTTTCTTTACCTATTGCTTTGCCTTTATAGAGTGAGTATAAGCCTCTGTTTTTCCATTCTTTATATGCCAATATTTGTCTTCTTGTTTAAAGGCAGGATGGTCTAGAAAGGAAGTTACTGTAATGGCGACGTTCCAGAGGCCAACATTTTCCTTTGATTTTTCCATGTCAAGATTGTAGTTTTTTAAAAGGGATTCAATTCCCTTTATCACCGAGTCTAATAATTTAAAGAAGGGAAGTGCTCAGAATGCTGGCATGGCTGGGGCAAGTTCAATATGGATCCAGGGATCTTCTGTTTGGTCCCAATCAGTGGGATTATTGATTTCATTTGAAATGCCACTTTATCTACAACATGCTGTTACATGTGTAGAGTTTGTGTGTTCTTCACACATGACCCTAAAACATGCTTTGAGAGATGGGGACTTTTATAATAATTTAAGAATAATTTATTATTTATACTCTGCCAATCTGGCTGAGTTTCCCCAGCCACTCTGGGCGGCTCCCAATCGAGTGTTAAAAACAATACAGCATTAAATATTAAAAACTTCCCTAAACAGGGTTGCCTTCAGATGTCTTTTAAAAATAGGATAGCTGCTTATTTCCTTGACATCTGATGGGAGGGCATTCCACAGGGCGGGCGCCACTACCGAGAAGGCCCTCTGTCTGGTTCTCTGTAACCTTTTGCAGGAGTCACAACTGAGTGCCGTTCAAAAGATCTGTTTGAACAGTTCATTCATACCACACCAAAGGTTTCTTTGGATGCTAAAGAGAAGCATCCATTTATTATATAAAAAAACAAAAGAAATAACGGTGCAGCATAAATATAAAATCACAGGTGCTTTTGAACCAGTGTCTTAACACATCCATACTCTAAAGAAATAAGCAGCCCTAATCTACAATAGAAATAAAGCAGTGGACCAATTGCCCGACTCAGTAAATAGCAGCTCCCTGTGTTACTTGTTCTTCTATATGCTTGGGTTATTATCCTTTTGATAATGCTTTCTGCTATTTTACCAGGAACAGCCTGTCATTTCCTGGATCTTCCCTGGATACCTTTTTTAAAAAATGGTTCTATATTGGCCACTTTCCAATCCCCAGGTATGGAAGCTGATCTTAGGGACATGTTACTTTAAGAACTCTGAGGATTTGTTCATTTTTAATTTATTGGTAAGGTGAGAACTGCTTACCACTGTTTGCTTCAGTTCAGGCACAAGAATCTGGCCTACGTTTTCTGCAGTGAAAACAGATGCAAAGAATTCAACCAGTTTCTGATTTTAGAAGTCTGGAACTGAAAGTGAAAATAAATAGCTGTGACTATGGACTGGCCAGTACAGTTAAGCACACTTTAAGCCCATTGAAATCAGTCAGCTTAAGCAGGCTTAACTCTGTGCTGGACTGTAGCCGGTGAGACTTGCATCCCATGATATGACTTGTATGATAAGGCTGCACTGTTTCGTTGCCTAGCTATATTAACAGCAAGGATACTACTGCTTAGTGCTAACAAATAAAATGTATAAAATAGATATTGGAGAGTTAACTAAATTATATGGGTATTAATGGTAAGACAACAAAAATGGATTTTGTGAGTTCTTGCAGTAATAAAGGAGAGCCTTGGAGGATAAATACCCACCATTTATTACGCAGTGGCGGGAAGACCTTCATACCCTTGCTACCTATTTGGATGGCTTATATTGAGCTATATGTGTAAACTAAGATGGGTGTATTGAAAGTTATTGTATTGTTTTCCTTTTAATAATTTTTCAATAAAAAAGCAAAAGAAATTACTTTCTTGTGTTTTAAATAGTATCCCATGTGACCTATTTTGATTTCTAAGATTGTGTGTAAGCATTTTTTTATACTGTCTATATGCCAAGTTTAATCACTGAGAGTAAGTGGGGGTGTGTAGACTTGACCCAACCGTGGATGAGTAAAAAAAGAAAGAGGTAATGTGATTTATTTATTGTTTTATTTTCTTACATTTATTTCCGACCTTCCTTCCATCATGCAACCCAAGATAAAGTGTGTGTGGTTTTGAGGTAGTCTCCCAACCAGGCACTGCCTAAACTCAGTCCTGTGTGGCTTCAGCAAGGTGCCATACCATACCCTGAGAACATCATGATTCTTGTCTGTTATATAACATCTCTATTATCATTACCCAAAATGTTAGATAGATGGATACGGATTGATACATTGTGGATTTATAATTTGTGGAGATAATCAGTAGGTAACTGAAAATAAATTCAGTAATTTTTCACCAGTTCCATTTTTGGAGGGTACATTCTGACTCAGATGCCTTTTGCCTGCTAACTAGCACTCTCCTTGTGCGCCAATCCAGCCAGGTGCTCCATGCTTGTGGAAGCAGACTTCTGTGTTGTGCATCCCTTGTAAGATAGAGTTGTCAGCAGCTGGACTGAGGAGGAATGGTGGGGATCGCCCCCTCCCGAACCTTCCCGAGAAGAGGAGGACAGTATAGATTTATAACAGTGTTTTGCAGGACTTCCGGCGAGGCAGCATGGCGGCTGCAACAGCAGAAAAGAGCTCCTGAAGCCAGCCAGAGTAAAAGGCTCCTTCTGGCCACCCCAGGGCTCCCAGGTCTGCTGCCGCCAGCACCACCAGCGGAGAGGAATCGGGGGTGCCCAGGCATCTATCAAAGGAGCCAAAACACCCCCCCCACGACTGAGATTGAGCCGGAAAGGCACCCGACCACCCCCCCAACAGCAGAGAGGAGCTCCAAAACCAGGAGGACAGTGGAGCCAACGCAAAGAGGGAGAAAGAAAGGGGGAGAGAGGAAGAAAAAGAAAGAAAAAGGAGTCCCAAACTTACCGCTGCCGCCCCCATCTCTGCCAAGGAGAAAGCAGAGGAGAGGTACGTGAGCACGGGAAGGCAAAAAAGGCTCCGAAAAAACAACACGTGGCTGAGCCCCACCGGGAAACACAAAGAAGCAGCATAACAAAGGAGAAACTACTTTTTTTTTTCCTCCCCCCTTTTTTTTTAACCCCCTTCCTTTTTTAACCCCTTCCTCCCCCTCCCTCCCCCCTTAAAAAAGCAGGGGAGAGGTAGGTGAGCACGGGAAGGCAAAAAAGGCTCCGAAAAAAAACACGTGGCTGAGCCCCACCAGGAAACACAAAGAAGCAGCATAACAAAGGAGAAACTACCTTTTTTTTCCCCCTTCCCTTTTTTTTTAACCCCCTTCCTTTTTTTTTACCCCTTCCTCCCCCCTCCCCCTTAATATATATATATATATATACCTTTTTATCCCTCCCTCCCCATATACCTACTTTTATCTCTTTTCCTTATAAAAGAGGGTCCACTGCTGCTGCAGCCACCCTTTATTTGAATCTTTACCGCTGATATTACTGTACTATCTCTCCCTTCTCTTTTACTCCAATCTCCCCTCTCCCCCCCCGCCTCCCCTCTTTTTCTTTCTTTCTTCTTCTTCCCTTTCTTCTCCCTCCACCCTTTACATATAGCCTATTTGTCTGTCTCTGTTTCTGAGCGCACTCCCAACCCCAACTTCCACCTCAACTGGACCCCAATACCCCTTTTGGGCATATACAACCCCCTCCTAACACATATCTCCCCTGGCCCCACCCCTCCAATCTCTTGCATCTCTACCTGCTAACCCCCCTCCCTTTATATGAACTGTCTGCCCGTCAGTCTACCCATCTCTGCTTACCTGCCCCCCCCCGCCTCGGCGGCACCGCTGAGGCATCTACAGAAGCCCTAAAGAAGTTCTTAAAACACAGACTAGAAGTGACACAAATGACCACCTAATCCAAACGCTCTGTAGAAGCCACCAACCAACAAAGCCTGATCAGCTCAGCAACCCAACAATACCCAGGAATCACCACTGCCAC